CGAGTGTCTTCGCTGTCTGGGCGAGGCTCACATAAGTGAGTGCTGTAAAACCTGTAAGTCCTTCAAGCCCCGGACTAAACGCGAACGTGAGATCCGACTCCGGGCTCTGCTTATGGAGTCAGCTCTGGCACCAGCGCTGACCCGACCCGGCGCCGGACACCGCGTCCTCGGTGCGGAGCGAAGTCCCATCCACCAGTCGGCACTGCTCCCCTGCCAAGAAGCAAGGCAAGACCCAGCTGTGCCAAGACAAGGACAGGGGTGAGGTCGGACCCGAGTTGGGCAGCCCACGATCACCCTCAGGACCCAGTCCTCCGACTCGCGTGGAGTGGAGTAGTCCGGCCCTGTCAGCGCTTGCCTCCCAGACAATGAGGATTCCGTCGACACTGGAGGCAGCTCAGGCAGTGCATGACATCCTCGTCATGCCGGTACTGAGCGGGCCACCTGAGTTGGGGCCCCAGTCCTGAGGGAAGCCGCTGCTGGGCGCCCACCAGCCCTCATCGGCCAGGTCGGAGGCTGAGGTCCCTGCTCGCTCCGCGGGGCCTTCCCGTAGCCCGTGTCTGGTCTCCACTCCATTGTCGGGGTCGCCTGGGAGTGAGTCGCCGGAGTCTTCCTCGGTCCACAGGGGCCACAGGCACCGGGACAGAAAGTGTTGACGCTCCTTGTCTAGCCACAGTGATAGCGCCATCGTGACGCCATCGGCACCATGCTCGGAGTGCATATTGACAGTCACCGGCACCAATGTGTCGTCGCCGACGGGAGTCCAGAGATAGCACCTCCGACGTTTACGTCTCATCGTCAAGGTCTAAATCCCGGGGCCGGACCCAACATAGACGGGAGCAATTGAGCCGCTTCTATGGCACCGTGCGATCCTCGGTCTCTTCAGCCTCGGCTCCCAGCCGTCTTTCCCCAGGCTGCCCCGTCCCTCAGGAACGTGTAACCCTGATTGGGCCTCAGCCGGCGCAATGGCAAGGTTCACCATGGCAAGGACAGTGGTGCCAGTGGGCACCGTGGCCCCAGGCGGCCGCACCGCCGAGGCCCCGCTCCGTCGCTGGGGCATCCCAAGCACCCTCAGCATCCCGGCTCAGCACCGAGAGGAGTCCTTGGTCGCCGAACCACCAGCACTGCACCACATGATGTCCCGGTTCCTAAAAGGGCTGGATCAGGCCTTCACTTACACTAGACCCCCGGTCCAGCTCTGGGATCTGAACCTAGTGCTCTCCTGCCTCACAGGGCCTCCATTTGAGCCCTTGGCCACGTGTTCTTGGTCCCACTTGTCATGGAAAGTGGCGTTCCTGGTGGCTATCACCTCAGCCCGCCGGGTCTCGGAGCTTAGGGCCCTGACCTCCGAGCCCCCGTATACGGTCTTCCATAGGGATAAGGTCCAGCTCTGCCTGCCTGCTGAAGATAGTCTCGGCTTTTCACATGGATCAGGACATCTTCCTCCCAGTCCTCTGTCCTAAGCCCCATTCCTCCAATGAGGAATGATGCCTGCACATGCTAGATGTGTGTAGAGTGCTGGCTTTTTACTTAGACTGGACCAGGCCGTTCCGTAAATCCCCTCAGCTTTTCATTGCTTCGGCCGAGTGCATGAGGGGGCGATCGGTCTCTACCCAGTGGTAGTTTGAGGCACATAGAGAAGGCTCTCAGAGATCAGCACATGGCAGTGAAGTCATGGCACTGCACATCAATGAATTCAAAACCTTTGGCCCATAGAGGTTTAACCCCGTGATGCAGGAAGCCTGAATTTCCTAGCAGTATGACAAACCAAGGAAAAATGCATTCAACACATTTCCTGTGAGACCTTCAACTTCCTGGCATGATACATATTCAAATAACTGGGAGAAAAAGAAAGTTCAGCTGCCTGAGGCATTGAACTAAGAATTCAGAAACTGCCT